GGTCACGAACCCGCGGGCTCATGCAGTCCACTCACCTCAACCTCCCAAAGTGCTGGGATTACAGTCTGAGCCACCGAGCCCGCCTTAAATATTCTATGTATGTGTGTATGTATGTCAGTCAGAATCTCACTCTGTCACTCAGGCTGGAGTGCAATGGCACAAATTAAAAAATTAGCCAAGTGTCACAGTGCACACCTGTAATCCCATCTACTTGGGAGGCAGAGGGCGGAAGGATTTCCTGAGCCCAGGCTGTTGAGGCTGCGGTAAGCCGAGATGTGCCACTGTACTCCAGACTGGACAGAGCAAGACCTTGACTCAAAAATAAAAAATGAAAAGCAAAAACAAACAAACAAAAAACAGGGTAGAAAGTATTAGAATATAGTAAACATACAAATGTAGCTTATCAGCTTTATGTGTGTATTTGGTCATGATATAAAATATATTCTCAATTAGTCTGGCCAAGGAGAAAACAAACAAAAAATATATTTCTTACTGTGGGTTCTAGTTAAAAACATTAGAGGCCGGGCTCGGTGGCTCAGCCTGTAATCCTGCGCTTTGGGAGGCTGAGGTGAGTGGATTGCCTGAGCCCGTGGGTTCGAGACCTGCCTGGGCAACTTGGCGAGACCTCATCTCTACAATAAATAAAAAAAAAATTAGCCGGGCATGGTAGCGTGCCCCTGTAGTTCCAGCTACTTGGAAGCCTGAGCGGAAGTATTGCCGGAGCCCAGCAGGGCGAGGCTGCGGTGGTGGGAAACGGCCACTGCACTCCAGTCTGGGCCACGGAGTGAGACTCCAACTCAAACAACAACAACAACAACAAAGACATTAGAAAGCCACCTACGAGTAGAATTCCTGGTTCTGAGAATGCCCATTTCCCCTTTCTGAGAATGCCCATTTGTGACTATTGCCAAATTGTTCTTGAGAGGGCTTATGGCAGTTTACTGTTTTACTACACGGTATGGGAACACCATTTCCTCCACATGTCCAGCATTTCATCAGAGTAGCCATAGGACTTCTGTTCCTCCAAGAGCTTCTCTTTAGTATTTCCCCTTGTTTCCGCTACTTAACCTCGTCTTTATAGTTGGCAAATGCATGCCATTGTTAGCAGTTTTAAAAATTGAAATGTAATTCACATGCTGTGAAATTCATCCTTTGGAAGCATATAATTCAGTGGTTTTAGTATACTCGTAAGACTATGCCGATTTTACCACCATCTAATTCTAGAACATTTTTACCACCCCCAAAGGAAACCCAGTACCTACTAACAGTCACTCCCCATTTCCCTTTCTCCCAGGCCCTGGCCACTGCTAATCTACTTTCTTTCTCTGGATCTGTCTGCCTCTTCTAGACATTTCACATGAATGAAATACAACATGTGACCTTTTGTATCTGGCCTCCTCCACTCAGCCCAGTGCCCTCACGGGCCTCTTCATGATACAACTTATCAGTACTTCACTTCCTTCCATAGTTGAATAATATTTTGTTCTATAGATATATTGCATTTTGTCTATCTGTTTATCAGTTGTGGACATTTGGGCTGTTTCCACTTTTTGGCTTGGCTATTAAGAATAATGCTGCCATGAACTTTCACGTTCAAGTTTTTGTGTAAACATGTTTTCACCAGAGGTAGTGGCTCATGCCTATAATCCCAGCACTTTGGGAGGCCGAGGTGAAAGGATTGCCTAAGCCCACAGGTTCGAGACCAGCTTGGGTAACTTGGGAGGCCTTGTCTCTACAATAAATCAAAAAATTAGCCGAGCATGGTGGTGTATGCCTATAGTTCCATCTACCTGGAAGGCTGAGGTGGAAGGATCACCAGAGCCCAGCAGTGGCTGTGGGCGTGCTGCTGCGCTCCAGCCTGGGCGACAGAGTGAGACTCGGACTCAAAAAAACAAAACAAAACATGTTTTCAATTCTCTTGGTTTATATCTAAGAATGAAATTTCTGGGTCACATGACAGCTCCATGATTAACCTTTCAAAAACTACCAAATAGTTTCTCAAGGCAGCCATACTAACCTGTTTTCTTACCAGCCGTGTACTGAGTCTCCAGTGTCCAATGTCCTTACCAACACCTGATATTGTTTGTCTTTTTTGATTATAGGAAGCTTAGTGGGTGTAAAGTGGTGTCTCATTGTGGTTTTTATTTGCATCTCGTGTCTCTAATGACTAAGGATGTTGAGCATCTCAAGCATATCTTCACATTCATTTTTTAGTTGGGTTACTTGTCTTTTTTTTAATTGCAAAAATACGTTATACATTCTAGATACTAACTAGACTCTAGTTAGAAAATATTTGCAAGCATTTTTGTCCTCATTCTGTGAGTTGCCACTTCACTTTTTGACAGTATCCTTTTAACCACGGAAAGTTGTTTTGTTTGCTTTTTGGTTTTGAGTCGGAGTCTCATTCTTTTTGGTTTTGAGTCGGAGTCTCATTCTATCACCCAGGCTGGAGTGCAGTGGCATACTCACAGCCACCCCAGAGTTGACTTGCTGGGCTCTGGTGATCCTTCCGCCTTGCCTTCCAAGTAGCCGAACTACAGGTGCATGCTACCACGTCTGGCTAATTTTTGATGTATTATAGAGGTGAGGTCCTGCCAAGTTGCCCAGGCTGGTCTCAAGCCCATGGGCTCAGGCAGTCCACTCGCTTCGGCCTCCCAAAGTGCTGGGATTACAGGCTGAGCCACTGAGCCCGCTAGAAAGTTTCTAATTTTCATGAAGTCCAGTTGTCTGTTTTTCTTTTTTTTAAAGTGTCGTGTCTAAGAAGCCATTGCCTAATCCAAGGTCTTAAAGTTTTACAATGTTTTCTTTTAAGAGTTTTATGGTGTTAGCTCATATAAGTGCATCTTTGATTCGTCCTGAGTTAGCTCTTGTACTTGGGTGTGAGATCAGGATCCAGCACCATTCTTTGGCACATCGATATCCAGTAGTGATTAGTTTTGATTGCTCATTTGATAGTATCCTCACCACAAGTGATAAAGTGTGGGCAGGATGAAGCTTTCTGTGTTTCTTATTAGGTTTCAATATATTCAGGTTAGAAACTTGGTTTTTTTTTTTTGAGTTGCAGTCTCACTCTGTCACCCAGACGGGTTCAGTGGCACGACTGTGGCTCACTGCAGCTTTGAACTCCTGGGCTCAGGTAGTCCTTCTGCTTCAGCCTCCCAAGTTGCTGGGACTATAGGTGCATGCCATCACACCTGGCTAATTTTTGATTTTCTGTAGAGATGAGGTCTTGCTATGTTTCCTAAGCTCAAGCAATTCTCCTGCTTTGGCCTACCAAAGTGCAAGGATTACAGATGTGAGCCACCACACCCAACCTTTGTTTGATTTTTTCTTTCTTCATAGAATTCTCTTTTGCTTGAATTTTTATCATGTCTATTCTACCACAGTATTGGGTTGGGTTACGAAAATAAGCTCATAAATAAATAATGTGACTAATGGGACCTAAATATAAACTACTAAAAATTATAATTTCTTTTTTTTTTTTTTGAGTTGGAGTCTCACTCTGTTGCCCAGGCTGGAGTGCAGTGGCATGCACATGGCCACCACAGCCTCGACTTGCTGGGCTCAGGCGATCCTTCTACCTCATTTTCCAAGTAGCTGGAACTACAGGCGCATGCTACCATGCCTGGCTGATTTTTTATTTTTTATTGTAGAGATGAGGTCTCGCCAAGTTGTCCAGGCTGGTCTCAAACCCGTGGGCATAAGCAATCCACTCGCCTTGGCCTTCCAAAATGCTGAGATTACAGGCTGAGCCACTGAGCCCAGCCCTGTAATTTCTAAGAATAAAAATACCTTACAATAATTTCATTTGTATTTGTTACCATAAATGTTTCTTAAAGAATGTTTTGACTGTGGCATTTCTCCTTTTGGATGCAGTAGTTTCACAGAAAGCTTCCTGCTGGCTTTTGCAAAAATCTAGATGTTGGTAAACTCAGACACTCACTGATGGATTTCCTTATCTTTCTGAACATTATAACCCCATCCTCTTTCGGAACTGATTATGTTATGCACAAATTTGAAAAGTTTTATTTTTAAGTTATATGACTGAGAATCATAGCAAGTTGTGTAAGGATAATAAGGTACCATATCTTTTTTTAACATGTTGCATAAATTTTTCTTCTAGGGTGGGAATGGGTAGGGTCATTAGCCATTTAGGAACCTGAGGTTATTTAGGGAGCAGTGATAGCTGAAATGCTCCTTGCTTTCTCTTTTGTTTTGTTTTTTTGAGTCGGGGTCTCACTCTGTTATCAGGCTGAACTGCAGTGGCACGATCAAGGCTCACTGCAGCCTCAATCTCCTGGGCTCAGGTGATCCTTCCCCCTCACTCTCCCCAAGCAGCTGGGACTGCAGGTGTGCGCCATAACACTCAGCTAATCTTTAAAATTTCTTATAGAGACAAGATCTCCCTATAATACCCAGGTTGGTCTTGAACTCCTAGCCTCAAGTATTCCTCCCACCTTAAGCCTCCCAAAGTGCTGGGATTGCAGGTGTGAGCCCCCTGCCTGGCCTCTCCTTGCTTTCATTTGGCTTCTTTGATGTGGTCTGTCTTTTGTTAAGGTTGAAATAAATGTTCATTTTCTTTTATTAAACAACCAGAAAATCCTAGAATTTTGAGAGATGAATGTAGCCTTGAAGATAAATGCTAAAAATGCCCCAGCCCATACGTTTAAACTAAGGTTAGTATTTTAAATTTCAGCAGCAAAAAAGATCCAAATGTCTGGCTAGGTAGTGAGCTAATCACTTGCACTGTTTGGCTGTTTCCATTGGTGGCATGATTTCCCCCTCTTTCATATTCTCTCCACCTCTGGGTAATCTTCAGCAGTGCACTCTGGTCAAAACAAGGCCAGATACCTCAATAATTGCATATTTTGATAGCTCCTATAAGCTAGTGCTTAAGACTCATGTAAGCATTATCTGTACTCTTTAGCTTCTCTTTTACATTTTCTGACCTTCTCACTTTAAGCTGTTTTGTTTGTATTTTTCCTCTTTTTTTTTTTTAGGTTGCTGTTGTTCTGATGGATACCCAGGGGGCATTTGACAGCCAGTCGACTGTCAAAGACTGTGCCACCATCTTTGCTCTGAGCACCATGACTAGTTCTGTGCAGGTAAAATCTCTTGACTCAGAAAAAAGTGTGCAGAGGAAATAAGATAAAGGGAGAACATTTAGTTTCAGTTATTGTTCTGTTAGCAGAGTTTCTGTGATGACACCTAAATAGTCTCTTTAGACTATAGATTTAGTTAAGCTTTCATAAGCTTAAGAAGGAGCTAAACTGTTTTTTGTTCTTGGTCATAATTGTATATAAATACTCCAAGAAAAGTCCAAAAAAATAGAAATTGAAATTACATTGAATACATCATACCAAAAATATAGATTTGTTTAGAGCTCAGAAAAATTTTATTTTAAACTGTGAAGGAAGAATTTTGTGATTTCAACTTTATATGCATAGTTTTCCAAAAGACAGATAATATTACTGTTTGCACGATCCTCATATTCTTTTTTTTCTTTTTTTTTTTTTAGAGAGACAAGGTCTTGCTATGTTGCCCAGGCTGATCTCAAACTCCTGGGCTCAAGCAATCCTCCTACCTTGGCCTCCCAAAGTGCTGGGATTACAGGCGTGAGCCACTGTGCCTGGTCTGGCCTCATGTTTTTATATACAAACCATTAGTTGTACCAAGCTTCTGTCAGTGCTGTAGACTTGTTTAGCATTTGTTTGAAGTAAACCAGACTAGTATCAATCTGGATTTTTGTTTTCTAGATTTATAATTTGTCTCAGAACATACAGGAAGATGATCTTCAACAGCTGCAGGTATGTATTTCTCAGAAACATTTAACATCATAATACACTTTAAAAGTTTTCAGAAGAAGAAAAATTTTAGAACGGAGGAGTTTTTAGCAAAAGATTGAAATTTGGAGGCAAGTGTTTAGTTCATAGTAATCCTGCAGTCTGCATATTGATTGCTGGGATGGAGTGGGGCGGTCAGAGAAGGCTTGAGTGATTTGAGCAGAGAACAGAGGAAAGTGGGTGAGTTGGTCCTTCACGTGCATCTGAAAGTGTCACAGGAACAGCAAGAAGACCCTGAGAGGAGTGTTCGTGGCAACACCGAGGAATGGCAAAGAATGCCAGTGGGAGAGAGTTGACAGTGGGGCGAAATGAAGAGGGCAGAGAGGCTGTGAGGTCCTGGTCCTGCTGGGGCTTTTCCTCTGGGGCGATGGGAGCCACAGGAAGGTTTTCAGCAGAGAAGTGATGTTATCTGACATATTGTAAAAGGATCACTCTGGTTCCGTGTTCGGCATAGATTTTTAGGGGGGCAGGGATACATTCAGTAAGATAGCTCATGACGCTGTTGCAGTAATCCAGGTGCGGTCACATAAATTCATATTTGCTAAATGCATATAACCATGTGTTTGGGCTTAATAACCACTAGTCATTGTTATTATTACTATTACTACTACTATTATTATTCAGTGACTTCTCCATAGCAGCAGTTCTTATCTGTTTTTATTTATTTATTTTTTTTTGGTAAAACAGTCTTCAATGGGTATTCCAGGGTTGGGTGCAGTTCCTGGCATGCTTCTCTAATTCTGTTTCTCCTACTCATATACAAGAAAACATAGTAGAATGCGAGTGAGTGAGGGTGTCATGATAGGGATGACCTTGAATTAGTTCTATTTTCTGTTCCTTTGAAAAAAACAATGAAAATCCCTCTGAACCTTGCCGTTCAATGTTGCTCATGGCGATTGCTTAATAAAAGTAGTTGGTGGTTCTTTACCTGTGCCATGACCCAATGGTTGATAGCTGTTGCTGTGTAAAACTTTTCTACCAAAACTTGAGTGGATCACCATTTCATCTGAAAGTTACTCCTTTCTAAGCTTCGTCCTTTTCCACAGTTTTTGAATGCCTACTTTGTGCAAGACAGGGGACCAAATGCTATAGACATACGTAAGGTCACATTCACAGGTGCTGGAAATATACTTTTTTACAGGACACAGTTCAACCCATGAGAGGTAGTGAGGAAATTATGATGCAGTTACATAATTCTCCTTTGATACTGTTCTCAAGAGCTCCACTAGCCTCTGGCTCCTCAAGTCCCAGATATGTTTAAGCATGTCTTTCCTATAATCATTTCAACATCAGCCTTTCCTGATTCTTTTTGTCTTACGCTGTCCTACGTTACCTTCAGTGACTTTGTTACTTTGTGTGTAGTCTTTTTTTTTCAGTCAGGGTCTCACTCTGTTGCCCAGGCTAGAGTGCAGTGGCACGATCATGGCTCAAGGCAGCCTCTAACCCCTGGGAGCTGGCAATCCTCCTGCCTCAGCCTCTGGAGTAGCTGATAGGTGTGTGCCACCATACCTGACTAATTTTCTGATTTTTTGTAGAGACAAGGTCTCGCTTTGTTGCCCAGGCTGGTCTTGAACTTCTGGGCTTAAGTGATCCTCCCTCCCCTCCCTTTTTTTTTTTTTGAGACAGAGGCTTGCTATGTTGCCCACATTGTAGTGCAGTGGCATGATCATAGCTCATTGTTGCTTTGAACACCTGGCTCAGGTGATCCTCCTGCCTCAGCCTCCCAAGGAGCTGGGATTACAGGTGTGTACCACCACATCAAGCTGATGAATATTTAAATTTTATCCTCAAATTATAGAATGGAAATAATTTTCTTTTAGCTTTGGGAAGACATTGCTTCCTTGGCATTCAGCTTCTAGTGTTGCTGCCGAAGTCCCATGCTATCTGATTCCCGTTTCTTTGTATGCGACCTTTGGGTTTCTAGCTGAAGCTTCTAAGGTATTATTCTTGGCATGAGTTTTCGTGGTAATGTGCCTTAGTGTGAGCTTTCTCTTTTTAAACTCATATCCTAAGAAAGATAAGATGTTGCTCTATTGCAACTAAGAAATAATAGGATACTGTTAAAAGCAACATTCAGCAAACAAAAAGAGCCCCTAGAAATTAAAAAACTATAGCAGCAAAAATGGAAAGTTCAGGAGAGGAGTTAGAATATACATTGGAGAAAATTTCCCTAGGAGGTTAAGGGGAGAAAGAGTGGGGAGAAAGGGAAGGGTGTGGAGGAAAGAAGGTGAGAGGGCACACGGAAAGAGGAAAAAGAGACTCATTTCAGGAGCTGTTTAGCATGCTAATAATAATGGGTGTTTTGGTAAGAGAACAGTGGGGAAAAGAATTATAAAAGGAATACTGTGATGCTCCAGAATTGAAGGACATGAGTTTTTGTTTCCTGCAAGGGGCTTTTCTCAAATGCCTGGTGGTCCATGACTGGCCTTAAGAGTGAGCCGCTAACAATTGAACTGAGAGCTTTGACAAGAGGGTAGAGCCTTGTGTACTGGTTTGGACCACAACTAGGCAGGTGGTGGAGCAAATTATCTAGCTATTTTGTTGCCAACTCTTTAAAGTTAGTGCTTTGCAGCCTTTTATTTTGGGCTGTCAGTTTCTCCAGAGATTTCTTTAAGCTCCTGCTGGGGTTGGTAGATGCTTGTTGCGGCCAGCAGGGTGAGAGGGCTATGGGTTCCCACTGTTAGTATGTGGACTTTGACTTATATGAACTTGTTTCCAGTAAGGGACTTACTCCTAGCCTCAGCTGAGTTTGGTATCCGAGTCTAGAGATTTGGGGATTTATTTTCTCCATGTAGTACACCCGCCATCTTCTGTGAGGGCAGGAAGAGTATGGAGGTTGGGCGGTGTGGGCAGTGTAGGTGCTCTCTCCAAAGAGGTCCACACATGGCTCCAGCTTCAGCCCCACCCCCACACCTCCTAATGCAAGGCAACTATGTGCTCATAATTTCTGAGCCTTTCAGGGATTCTGCTGAGACAGTCTGCCTATCTGTTGGCCCTTGCTTCTTCTGGATTTTTTAGCAGGACAGAGAAAGCCAAAACCTGAGATGGTTCTCGTTGATCTGTTTTCTTTTCTTTTCTTTTTTTTTTTTGAGTTGGAGTCTTACTCTGTCGCCCAGACTGGAGTGCAGTGGCCGC